GTGTGTGTGTGTGTGTGTGTGTGTGTGTGTGTGTGTGTGTGTGCGTGCGTGCGTGCGTGCGTGCGTGCGTGTTTATGTGTGTGTGCGCGTGCGTGCGTGCGTGCGTGTGTGTGTGCGTGTCCGCGTGGGTGTGCGTGCGTGCGTGCGTGTGCGTGATGTCTTACACTGCTGGGATGTTACATTAGTTACAGAACAGCGCATATCACAATACAGATCGCGTCTATGGATAATAATAACGCATTGAGTAATTAGTGTAATGACATTAATTTATTGCTGCATTGCTACGTAACAAAACATCGCATATATCACATCTACTGATATTGATCACATCTACACGATGATAGCGTCGTGTTCGCGTGCATGAGTGCGCGTGTACGTGTGCACATGCACGCACGCACGCGCGCACACACACACACACGGTCGCGCGCGCACATCTGCACAGCTAAATTGAATTAGCATAAAGCGCTCTGCGTGCCCGTATTTTCCTTTGTCTACTGCGCTCTCTGCAACGTCAAGTGGCAAACGCACACAGATACAAGCGCGCGCCACGCGGGAGCGAGTTCAACACGAGACTTGTGAAGCGTTACACGTTTTTCTACTGCGATTTTACAGCTTTGATGGGCGCAATAACTTGTGAGACACGTATCTGCGCCTTGCATTCAATAGAAAACGAAGAGGCAGCGAATACGAATAAATTCTACTATCTAATCCTCCCTCCTGCAATCCCGCCTTCATTTACAACACACCTGCGTTTTCCCCATCCTCACTCTGCACCCTTATCCATCCCACAGTCTACCCTATACGCCCTCTAGATTTTCCATTTCCGCTTCCCCTTATCTACGCACAGCTCAGCCTTCCCCCACATTCACCTCCACAGTCCGCCTCTACTCCTCCTCATTTACACACCGCGTTGACGACATATGATCAAGAGCAAATAGGTATTATTAGCTCTTGACATGATCTCCAGCTACGCCTCCGACCACCTCATCTATGCCCCAGGCTAGCCCCATCTCCCCATTGATACCTTCCCCACCTTTCTCTCCCCCTCGTCTACACCCCGCGTTGACCACATACACCAGCAGGAGTGTGGGTGATCTACAGGTATTGTGCACATAGTGGCTTCTTCATCATCGGACCTCGGATAAACGGGCGCATCACTTAAACGACATGTCGTTGACAAACAACACCTACCCATGTTGTTTCACGTGTTCGCCGCTTAACGGGGACCACCGCTTAATCGGGACCATTTCATGGTTCCTGTCCCGATGAAGCGGGGACCACCTGTCACATGTCTACAGGTACGCATCGCTGCAGTGTGCCTCCGCGGATGACCAGTGGCTAATGATTGATGACAGGCGTGTCAGATATCGGCCCACCGGACCACCTGCTATTGTCACGCGATTTAGGCAAATCGGGCAGGTACCAGCGCTGTAGACAATGGCGTTGCACAGAGCCGTATAAAACACGGCTTCCGCCAGCATTCACGGGGGCGACCCCCTCCCCCGCCCTGTTCTCGCTCGCTCGCTCGCTCGCTCTCTCTCTCTCTCTCTCTCTCTCTCTCTCTTTCTTTCTCTCTCTCTCTCTCTCTCTCTC